GACCTGGTCAAGGCCAACCGTCCTGCATACCAACCTGATGATGCTACTTGGAGATGCAACCCACATGACACCTAAGGGAGATGCAGATTGGGCAATGGGGTGGAGGGTGTTGGAGGGAGGGGGCTGGGCAAAAGTTTGATTTCGTGCTTTTCTGGCTCAGACTTTGCTTTATTTCACTGCTATCTATTCATAACCAGTAAAAGTACTTTTAATTCCACAAACATTGGAGTGAGAGGTTTCTTTCTTGGTTACTGAGGGAGGCATGCTTTGACAGGTGCAGGATCCAATCTGTGTTGGTCACTGGGCCCAGAAGTTTAGTCTTCTGAATTTTCAGATCAAGCGAAACTAGAGAGAGAGAGAGAGGAGTTCTCTGAGGATGGGCCCCAGTAGGAGCCCTAAAGCTCGGAAGACCTCTGGTCCCAGTGACTGACCAAGATTGGATCCCGCAACAATAAATATCATTCTGCGTCAAGAATCTGATTAAAACAATGAGAAATCCAAGAGATGCGTTTGAAATTGCCTTCTTGGTGCACATCTACGCACTGAATCTTGATTGATGCATCCACCAGGGTCGCAGGGGTGGGCTAATGGGGGTTCGCATGGGTTCAGGCAATTCTCTAGCTTGGATTCTGCCAAGTTTGGCAAACCTCCAAATGCCACGCCCATCCCTCCCCTCCCAGGAGTCTCCACGCGGCCCGGTAAGTGTAGAGCCTGTGTGGAGGCTTTTGTGGGTGGGTATGAGCCTACCGGAAGTTCCAGAAGTCCAGAAATGGCCTGTTTCTGGCCTCTGGGGGCCTGGGAGAAGCAGTTTTCACCCTCCTGGAGGCTCGAGGAAAATCTCTAGAGCCTGGGGAGGGCAGAAAACACCACGCCCACTCCGCCATGGTGTAGGAGGCTGACTAGGCCATGCCCACCCAGCAATGAGGCAGCGAACCCGTTGCTGCAATTTTTGAAGCCCACTCCTGCCAGGGTATCCTGGATGGTTTACATGTGGAATATGAAGGTGACTGCAGATCTTTTAGGAAGGGCTTCTTCAACCCCTGCCATCTGAGGGGATGACAGACAAGCATAACCTTTTCGGCATAACGAAACAAACAAAAGAAGAACAGTTCTTCTATTGGCCGTAGCTGATCTGCCTACGATGCTGCAAATGCCAGTCATCTGGGAGGTGATGTCATAACATGCTCCTAAAGATAGTGGATAAATGGGAAAGGTCTTGCTATGTTGTTTATCTTTAAAATGCATTTGGTTCTCTTTAAAATATTCTGTGTTGGAATGTTTGTTTCCTCCCTTCCTCCAAAGTAAATACATAAATAAATAAAAACAAGAGTATTTTGAAGACAAAGAACACAAAGACAAAGAAAGATAAATCATTATATCCCCAAAATAAAAGTTGGGAAGCTGACAGCAACATTTTTTTTACAGTCTAAGTGGCAAGAGTCTTTTCCCCAAGAATAATCAGAAAGTTATCTTGGCATAAAACCAGTCATACCTGTATAAATGCCGAGTCCTTGGCAACTCTTCTGTGCTGAGGAAATAGCTAAAATAAAATACAGATATAATTAGGTTTTTAGGAGCAACATTCCACTGATGTGAGTTCCCTAAGCATAAATTTCTTTTAAAACAGAAGTGAAAAACGTCTGGCCAAAAGTTTCTTAGGTGCCAGAAACATTTTCAGAAGTGTTTATTTCTTGATAAAATCTACATCCCAGGTTGCTTTTTCTTAGGCAAGTCTCTAGTCCTCATGGCTGGGAGTTTGGAAAAAAAAGTGGGTGATTTTAGGTTTTCCCTTTCTTCAGTACTTCCTAAATGTTCATTTCTGTCTCCCGTTTTGTATAACTATTTTTTTCCAGTGCATATAAATGTATCTTCAGCTTTCAGGTGCAAAGGTGGAACAATATGGAGATATAAGGGGGGGGCAATCAATGATGCAGGGGGCATATAAAATATTGTTTCACTATCTGAAACTAGTGGACAGGCTGACAATTGCAACTCTATTAATTTTGTTTACTTATTAAATATACTTCCATAGTTCTAGTGCAGGGGTGTCAAACTTGATTTGAAGGCCACATCAGGGCTGTGTTTGACCTCGGGGGGGGGGAGTGGGTGTGGCCATGGTGGGTGCGGCCAGGTCATCACTTGTTTTAGGGGCACCTGTGGTAGCCAAGGGCAGGACTTCCTTCAGATACTCCCTCCCTTTCATTATAATCTCTCCTTCCTTCCTTCCTTCCTTCCTTCCTTCCTTCCTTCCTTCCTTCCTTCCTTCCTTCCTTCCCTCCCTCTTCACTCTCCTTTCTTCTTCCTTCCCCTTTCCTTATTTTTCCTTCCTTGCTCTCTTCCCATCTTTCCTTCTTTATCTTTCCTCTTTCCCTTTCTCCTTTCCTGTCCGTTCTTAGATGCTCAAAATGGAAAAGGGGAAACATTTCTCCTTTTTTTTTGCTTTGCTTCTAGTTTGTTTTGCTAGCCCTTTGCCAGGGAAAACGGAGTCTGAGGGGGTGGGGGTCGCATGCAGCCTCTCTGCCAGCAAAATTGGAGCTTGGCCCTCTGCCAGAGAAAACGGAGCTCGGGTGGGGGGGGTCCATGCAGCTTCCCCTGGCTTCATTTTCTGCTGCAATGGCCTCCTGCAGTCCTCTGCCAGCGAAAACAGAGCTCAGGGGGCTGCCGAAACTCCGTTTTTGATGGCAGACTGCTGTAGGAGGCCATTGCAGCAGAAAATGAGGCCAGTGGAGGCTGCATGGACCCCCCCTCCCCACCCGAGCTCCGTTTTCTCTGGCAGAGATCTGCAAGAGGCTGTCACAGCCAGAAATGGAGCCTGGGAGGGTCGTGTGTGGCCCTCTTGATCTCCGTTTTTGCTGGCAGAGGCAGCGCGATGCATTCCTTCGCTGTTTCCAGAGTGGCCCCCGTGGACCAGATCTAAGCACCCCGCAGGCCTTGAATTTGACACCCTTGTTTTAGGGGTTTATATGATAGTAAAAAAGATAGAAAAAGTGTAGCTGCAGGTGTTCTTCAACTTATAACCACTTGTTTAGTGACTGTTCGATGTTACAGTGGCACAGGGGAAAAAAAAGTGGCTTATGACCAATCCTTCCACTCACAACCATCACAGAATTCCCATGGTCACGTGATCAAAATTCAGGCACTTTGCAACTGGCATTATTTATGATGGTTGCAATGTCCGTGTGTGTGTGTGTGTGTGTGTGTCTGTGTGTGTATCGCCATTTGTGTCCTTCCTAGCTGGCTTCCAATAAGGAAAGTCAATGGAGGAAGCCAGGTTCCCTGCATGCAATACAACAACTGCATGACTCACTTAACAACTGTGGCAAAAAAGCAATTGTAATTGGGGTGTAACTCATTTATCAACTCCCTTACTTAGCAATGGAATTTCTGGTCGCAGCCTTGGTTGTATATCAAGGACTTACTTGTATTGCTTAAACTGTAGCATCATTTAAATTCACTCCATTCTATTTTCGCTGAGCCTCTCTGTCTATCCATGCTCCATTTTCTAGGACCCTACCTAATTGTGCTCCTGATTTCTCTATATTGTATTTCCTAAATTATGGGTCTATATGGATGGTTGAAATCATAAACTCTTCTTCCTTTGTGTGGCTAAAACTGTAGTTGGATGGTAGCTATTTCACATTTGAGGGCAACGTGTCCATGAACTATATTTGAACACATTTGTCAAAATAACATGGAAATCAAGCAATTAAATATAGTCACGTGCAATTATGCTTTCCAAATTAGTCACGGCTTTCCAGCTGTCGAATGAAACTGACACAGAATCTCAATGTTGATCAAAGCGACAGAAAAATAACATTTCCATTGTACTGATTTAAACTGCTGCCTTAGCAAGATTGATGGTTCTGCAATGAATCCTCTTTAACAGCTCTCATTCTTCTCCCCAAATTAAGACATTTCAGACACAAGGAATTATATCACCCAATGCATTTTAACGCAACTTTTAACAAATCCATTACATTTTCTTTTCTGACAACCGGATCAGTTCTGCACAAAGATCAAAGGGCAAATAAGATATATCCAAAGTGCTTCTTTTATTTGAAATGTCACATAATAATAATTAAAAAAAATGCATGTGTTGCAAGTGAATCCAGAGGTCATAAAATCCAACTCCATGTTCAATGCAGGAATTTGCTTAGCCATTCCGGGCAAGAGATCTTCCAGTCATCATTTAAAAATCTCCAGAAAATAATATTTATTGCTATCACAGAATTCCTCCTAAGGTTCAGTCTGAATCTTCTTCCTCTTATTAACTCAATTTATGGAGCTTAACCTGTCCCAAAGCAGGGAATTGATCCAACCCTTTTACTATGTTAGTGTTATAAAATGATAATTGTATAACTAATTGATATTTTTAAAATGCCTTTGTAATGTAAACTTGCTTCTTCCCTCAAATTATTGCTCAAAGGGGGTGAATTCCAGGATAGAATTAACCCCATAAGTTGAATGCAATGCAATTTTAATGAAGTTGTAGATTGCATTGGCCCATTCAACTGCTGCATCACGTTGCTCGCTCACTTTCAGATGCTGATCCACTACTGTCAATCCAGATCTTCCCATTCCATATGCATTATAAATTATTTCAATGGCCCTATGGAAGCAAGAGGATCTACATAACAACCTGTGATTCCTATGCTCATTTCACAGATTGGGACTTTCACCACAACCAAAGTAAAGCCAATACACATTTATGTCAACTCATAAATTTGCCATGGTTAAGAAAGGGGAGGAGTGCATTCCATGCATACTTTTGGCTAGAGTCGGATCTCAGATTACTACAGCAGGCTTGGGAGGGGTGCACCTCGTTGGGAAATGTGATTTATGACACAGACTGGGGGGGGGAAGGGAAGGAATAGGGTTAAACTTCAGCTATAATTCAAATGAGGCTCAGATCTGACTGCAAAGCGATATTGCCAAAATGGTGATCCTAATAAATGACTGGATTTCTCTTGAAACTTGGCTCGAGGCTAATGAATTAATTAGGGCATCTTTTGGAAACCTGACCGACACAGATGCTTTCCACTGATCATGTTATCATATGTAAATCTCAAATCAGTGATACAATACCACTGGCTTTGTTAAAGGCAAAAAAAAGATCAGCTTCCTTTACTGTAAAAAAAAAATACTTACATTTTATGCTGCTTCTCATCATAGCCCAAAATTTTGGACACATCCCAGTCACCCGATGTAATAGACTGTAAATTGTCATTGCTGCTATTGGGCTGCCAAGAAAAAGAAGAAAAGCAGGACTTCAGAAAGATTTAGCACAACCTCTTATCACTGAAATTTACAAACACATCCCCTGAAATTTTCTACCACAGTCTGAAAAATAGCATTATGCTCCTCCTTTCCTCTACAGTCTTAAAATATAAATGCCATGTAAATAAAGGGACTTGAATTTATGCCCGAAATAAACATATTCCATATTCAAGAACAGGGGTGTCAAACTTGATTTCATTGAGGGCCACATTAGAGTTGTGTTTGATCTCAGGGGCCCTGGGTGGGCATGGCCAGCTCAATGTCACACGTCGGGGCGGCTGAGTGGCCTGAGCACTCTGCCAGCAAAAACGAGCTCACGAGCTCTGTTTCTGGCTGGGACAGCCTCCTGCAACCCTCTACCAGTGAAAATGGAGCTCACAAGGGCTGCACACAGCCCTCCCTAGCTCCATTTTCACTGGTAGATTCATTGGGGGCCAGCCCTTCACTGGAGGGCCTCAGAAGCCTGGGGGCAGAGTTTTTCACCCTCCCTAGGCTCCAAAGGCTTTTCTATAGCCTTCAGGAGGGCAAAAACTGCTTCCCCTAGGCTTCTGAGGCCCTCCAGAGACCAGAAACAGGCCCATTTTTGGACTTCCGGAACCTTCAGTAGGCCTGTTTCTCCCCACCCTGAGCCTCTGCACAGGCCCTGCACAGGCTCTGCACTTACCTGGCATGATGAATGGGCTGCATGGAGACTTCTGGGAGGGGTGGAGTGGGCAGGGCCAGCCAGGAGTGGGATTTGGGGGTTTGCCGAACCGCACAGAATCTTTGCTAGAGGTTCACCTGAACCTGTGCGAACTCCCAGCAGCCCACTCCTGGTAAAGATAGTCCTGTAGGCTCAACTGGCGGAATTTTGAATCCGGTTTGTAAGTTCCCATTTTTGGGTTGGTTGCAATTTTGAATGGTCACTAAACAAGGTCATAAATTGAGGACTGCCTGTGTAAGCTCATGGAAATATCTGGACAGCAACCCTGTTATAAAAACTAAAGCAGATTTTCTTGGGCCCTGATACTTTTTGACTTTCTCAAATTTCCAGAAATAATATTTAAATAGCAGCAAGAGAGAGGACACTAAATTCACATTTTTGTTCCAATTATGCCCCAAATTCAACAGCTTTTTTTCCGGAAAAAAAGAGAGACTATTTGAGTCTTACTTGATGAGATCCGAGGACCATCAACCAATTATTAAATTTTTAACACATTAAACTGTAGTGCCCCTGACTGTTCTTTACATATCTTAACATACACATTTTTGAATGCATTAATAATTGATGAGTTCCACTGCAAAAGTCAGAGAAGTGGAAAGAATCACATTACAGTTGCTACATTGGTTTCAGAAATATGAATAGTAAATTCTATTAAAGTGGGAACAAAATACATTTGTTCTCATTTTCCTCCCAGGATGGCTAATCGTAATAATGTATTTATTCTACTTTGGCATTTGTTGTATTTTTGTCTCCTTCAAGAAGCTTACAGACTATGAGTTCTAGCCCCTACTTAGGCATGAAAACTGGCTGGTGACTTGTGGTAATTCCTCTCTCTCTCTCAGCCAATGGTGGGTTCCTCTCCCCGTCGCTACTGGTACACTGCGCACGGGGCCGGGCATCCTGGTGGTGCATGCGTGCTGTGCATGCGCATGCACTCCCACCACGCCTGCGACACCCAGCTGCTTGTTGGAGGTCACGCAGGCGTCGCACGCTATGCCACCGTATGGTGGCCGCTGCTCCCGGCTACTATCGGTATGGCCGTACTGGGCCGTACTGGCTGAAACCCACCACTGCTTTCAGACCTATGTAGTTTTTGAGGAGAAAACCATGTTCATCAACTTTTTGAGAATTACTGTCATAAATCATACTGGGTGTTTAGCGGGTCATCATGTGTTCATCCTGGGTTTATTATTATTTTTTTTGGGGGGGGGGGTGATTGTTAATTAAACACTGATTGCAATGGGCATTTTTTTGCTGAAAAACTAGAAGCAAATTTTGGGAACTGTGGGACATCACAAATGGCCATAAATAGTTGCCAATGGCCCAAAATGCAATCACATGACTGTGGGTGAGAGAGAGGGGTGGCCTTTGGAACTCCAAATCCGCATTGTAAGTGGTTTTTTGGGGTTGGTTATGACTTGGGTCACTAAGTGAGGACTACCTGCAAATCCTTCTGGTCAACAGGGCCTTCAATTTCCACCAGTAACAAACCAGCTTTCCTTCCACAAAACTTTGGGTCATAGTCTGATATTGCTTTGCTTGGGCAAAGGGATTCTGAGCCTGATTTAGCAGCAACCAATCTGTCCTGTCATAAGAATTCAGGCATATTTATTTTAATCTTACCCACCTGCTCCACAAAGGCAGACTCACCTGAGATGATGACATGGCAATATGGTAGAACTCGCCTCGTCCGCCTTGGGGAATGGCTCGGACGAAAAAGAACTTCTTGCCATCTTTAGAGAAGATGGGCTCTTCATTCTGCAAAACAACAAGAAGGTGCAAATGAAGTTTATAAGGATGGTATAAAACAGGCAGCGAGAGGGAGAGGAGAGAGGGGGGGGAGAGAGATGGACACAGGGAGGGAGGGGGAGAGACAGGAGGAGAGAGGGCGGAAGAGGTAGAGGGGGAGAGAGGGGAGAGTGGAAGGGAAAGAGAGAGGAAGAGGGAGGGGGAAAGAGGGAGAGGGAGTGGGGGAGAGAGAGGGAGAGAAAGGGAGAGAGAGAGGAAAGGAGAGGGGGGTGGGAAGGAAAGAGGAGGGGGAGGGAGGGAGAGAGAGGGGGGAAGGAAAGAGGGAGAGAGAGGGAGGGGAAGGGAGGGAGAGAGAGGGAGAGAGATTCATGTCAAATGCAGCAGAGTCAATTCTCATTCTTTGAGAATGTGCATCTCTTCCGTGGTAGCTACAAACTGAACTAAATCATCATGCAACAGAGGATCCTGCTCTAGCTACTCATTAATAAAATAGATCTAGTTTTCTTTTTTATTTTAGTAGGACCCTTTATCAAAGGAAGGAGCCCTGAAGAGATTTGAGGGCACCAGAAGCACCTTGATCTTCAAAGATGTTGTCTTCCGGCCAAAGTTTTTAAAAAGCTTCAGACACACGTACAGAGATCTACAGAGAAATAGCCAGAAGACACCTCACAAATCTACTTTAAAGGAGACTGCAGTTCCATCCTCCATTTCTGACAAAAAATAATGTGCTAAGAGCTGTAATAACTGGACCAAATTTATCTTTGCAGAGACTTCTAGGGGGAAATGTCCCCATTAGAACCAATCATAACATTGATCTCCTGAGTTGTGTGATAGGATCAAGATCAATTTTCAAATTGTGTATTTAGAACAGCGATTGCTCTGAAAATAGTTTGCTGAACATTTGAAAGCTCTGTGGCTGTTTCCGAAACCTTTGCAGTTCTCTTTGCAGAATGAAATCAAAACGCTTTCAAAGCCACAATTAATCTGCAACGAAGTGTGAATTTATATCTCTCTTAAATCTTCACATCTGTATAAATATAATCCTTGCTGTAGTGAAAACAGTAGAACATTTCCATTGGTGAAAATATTATTTTCTTTTGTAAAGTCAAAGAACACGGATCCCATTTTAAAAAATATATATATCTCCTATTACCTGCCGATGCAGCCAGGCTGTGCTTTCATCCTCATGTTTCTGAAACGAAGAAGCATAATTAAGGTATTATGCTATATTTTGCATTTATTATATTTTGCTCATCAGTGCAGAAAGCAATTTGACTCCCTTCCAACAGTGAATGAGCAAAAAGAGAATGAAACATCTGAGCAGGCTTTAGAGGAAGCAACACAAAGGATACTCAAGCTATTCTTGGTCTTGACAATTGTTAAACTTGTGCTGTTCCCTAGTTAAACAAGGGAATGCATTTACAGCTCAGCAGTTACCCATGGAGATATTTATTTATTTAAAACATTCACACAGCGACCTATCTTATAGACAACTCAGGGCAGCTCCCAATCAAAAATTAAAATAAACATAAAAACTATATTACAACGGTGGTGAAATTCATTTTTTTTTGCTACCGGTTCTGTGGGCGTGGCTTGGTGGGTGTGGCAGGGGCAGGATACCGCAAAATCCCCATTCCCACCTCACTCCAGGGGAAGGATACTGCAAAGTCCCCATTCCCACCTCACTCCAGGGGGATGAATACTGCAAAATCCCCATTGCCACCCCACTCCAGGGGAAGGATACTGCAAAATCTCCATTGCTACCTCAGAACCGGCTGCATTTCACCCCTGAACCAAATGCATAGAGACTAAAACCTGGGGCCAAGTCCATCTGCTGTCATATAGTCACCTCATTTTATCCCAGTGTTTGGGGGGCAAAATTGGGTCTTTAAGGCTTGACAGATGGCTAGGAAGGCAAAGGTACACCAAACCTTAAGGGGGCAGAGTGTTTCAAAGACCAGGGACTATCATGGAAACAGAGAAACCCAGAGGTGAAAAATGGTCATGATTCACTATTTTCAGTGCCATTGTAACTTTGGATGTTCACAAGATGAACTGTTGCAGGCCGAGGATTACCTGTGCTATGTTTTGGACCAGTTGAAGTTTCTGGGTGGTCTTCAGGAGATGCTTAAACCAGTAGCTTTTGAGCTTTTTTTTTTTCCATTCAAGGTGTCTTATTGTTTGAGGAATTAGAGAAACAGGCAGACTGATCGACAGTCACCTTATGGGAGAGAAACTGAACCAACAGCATCTGATCTGGATTTTCTAAACTTTGGCCCAAATCTATTTAAAAAAGAGCTAATTTGGTGTGTTAGTGAATGACATTTTAGGAAGAGCATGAAATCAGCTGGGTGGCCAGCCCCTCTCTCTCAGGAAAAAGAGAGGAAGAAGACGAACTATTTCTGAAAATATGGCCAACAAAATTGCATTATGTGGTCAACCAGGAGCCGAGGCTGATCTGGAGGATTGTCACAACAGCAGGTAAATAGAGCCGCTGTAAGAATGGAAGTTTGCATGGAGGACTTGATTCCTATCTCACAGGTGTGTCAAACTCAAGGCCTGTAGGCCAAATCCGGCCCACGGGGTGCTAAGATCTGGCCCGCAGGGCTGCCCTGGAAACAGTAAAGGACTGGCCCGTGGGGTCTCTGCCAGTGAAAACAGAGCTCAGGAAGGTGAGCTCCATTTCCAGCTGCAACCACCTCCTATAATACTCTGCCAGCAAAAATAGAGCCATTTTTGCTGGCAGAGAGTTGCAGGAGGCAGTCGCAGCCAGAAACGGACCTCGGGAGCCCGTTTCCCTGGCAGAGTGCTTGGGCGACCACAGGGCGCCCCCAACACAAATGACATCGAGGTAGTCACACCCACCCTGGTCCCCCTGAGGTCAAACACAACCCTGATGCGGCTCTCAATGAAATCAAGTTTGACACTCCTGCTATATCCTATCATGGCAATGGCTGAGTTCCGCCATGTAATATAAATGATAATACTTAATCCAAACACTGGAAGTTAACACAAAGATGAGCTTATCTTTCAAGTGTTGGATTGAAAGGTACACACATATTTTTCACGGGATGGCTCCTTCCTAAATCTCATGTACATCTTTTGGAGCGGAGTGCAAATTACAGGAAAATCTGCAAAGTAGAGGTGATTTATAAAACGGAGCTTCCCCATCACAAGTATGTTATGCTGGTCATAAAATGACTTTATGACCTTTTTTTTACGGTGGTTGTTAAGCAAATGCTGCAGTTGTAAAGCTGCAGTGTAACGTGCCGGTTAACTGTTAATATTAACAAGGTTTGCTATGGATGATTTTGCTGAAGACTGGAAGGAAATGCTGGTTTTCAGCAAAACCATAGTGAAATTTGGTTGTTTGACTGTGGGATGCTGCGAATGACCATGAATACAGTTGCTGAGAACCTAAAATTTGGTCACATGACCGCAGGAGAGAGGGACTAATCATTGCAACTTTGAGTCAAAAAGAAAGCTGTGAAAATATCTACAGATCCCTCAAATTCTGGACATCAATTGTTTCAACTTCTACCCTCAAAAGGACCCTAAAGGGCACTGCACACCAGAACAACTAGACACAAGGACAGTTTATTCCCACATGCCATCACTCTGTTAAACAAATAATTCCCTCAACACTATCAAACTACTTACTAAGACTGTATTATTATTATTATTATTCTCATCCTTCCCAATACCTATCTTCTTTTTGCTTATTACTATAATCCTGCTTGTATTTTTACAGTTTATAATGTTTTATTTAGTTCCCTAGTATGATTTTGATTGCTTATTTAGTTTCTTATGACTATCATGAAGTGTTGTATCTTATGATTCATGATGAATGTATTTATGATGACTTTGATCAAAGACAAATTCTTTGTGAGTCCAATCACACTTGGCCAATAAAGAATTCTATTCTATTCTATTCTATTCTACTCTATGCTATCATGATTTATCACTTATATCTTTTATGTACACTGAAAGCTTATGCACCGAAGACAAATTCCTTGTGAGTCCAATCACACTTGGCCAATAAAGAATTCTGTTCTGTTCTGTTCTGTTCTATTCTATCATGATTTATCTCTTATATCTTTTATGTACACTGAAAGCTTATGCACCGAAGACAAATTCCTTGTGAGTCCAATCACACCTGGCCAATAAAGAATTCTGTTCTGTTCTGTTCTGTTCTATTCTATCATGATTTATCTCTTATATCTTTTATGTACACTGAAAGCTTATGCACCGAAGACAAATTCCTTGTGAGTCCAATCACACTTGGCCAATAAAGAATTCTGTTCTGTTCTGTTCTGTTCTATTCTATCATGATTTATCTCTTATATCTTTTATGTACACTGAAAGCTTATGCACCGAAGACAAATTCCTTGTGAGTCCAATCACACTTGGCCAATAAAGAATTCTGTTCTGTTCTGTTCTGTTCTATTCTATTCTATCATGATTTATCTCTTATATCTTTTATGTACACTGAAAGCTTATGCACCGAAGACAAATTCCTTGTGAGTCCAATCACACCTGGCCAATAAAGAATTCAATTCAATTCAATTCTTCAAATACAAGGCATATGAGAGAGGTCCGTCATAATGGCAAACAGTTGCTATGTGATTAGTCATAAGGCAAGGACTACCTTTACTTTTTTTTAAACAAAAACTTATGTGCTGTAATATCCCTGAATCAAAAACAGCTGCAAAATTGCACGATGCACCTTAAAGGTGGGGAGAAAAATCTCTATGGATGGAACTGTCAAGACTGGTTATATATATATATATATTTCTTTTCAGTGTTATGTATTTTCCATGATATTCCATTTTCAGACTTGAAAAATGAAAACTAACCATTAGTTACCACAGAAAAAGGAATTGTTTAAATGCTAGTAGAGGATTTTCCTTATTTATTTATTTGATTGTATGCTCAGTCACTTTGGGAATTAAAATGAAAAAGCAGACTTCGTTTACGGGGAAAAATAATAATGCAAATATATACCTTTGTGCAGACGCCTGTGGTTGCATCACAGAGAGTCAAAATGGAAAAATTCTGGGCTCGATTTAGCCAGTTAACTGCAAACTTGGTACTGGTTGCCCACTTCACCATGGTTATATAATAATCCCTGAAAAACAAACCGGGGCATTTTTTAAACATTTTTGTTAAAAAAAAAATCCCACCTTTGTTAATAACACAAGGCAGCAAATATACCCAATACTGTATTCTTTCCTCCTCCTAGTTTACTCACAACAGCAATCTTGTGAAGTGGGTTGGGCTGAGAGAGAGCGACCAGCCCAAAATCACCCAGGCAGGATTAGAACTCACCAACCCCTGGTTGCTAGCTGGGTATCTTAACCAGTAGACCAATCTCGCTCTCTTCATTTAAAAGTTTCCATTCGATACACTTTATTGTTGTTGTTAGTTGCGAAATCGTGTCCGACCCATTGCAACTCCATGGACAACATTCCTCAAGGCCTTCCTGTCCTGTACCATCCTCTGGAGTCCACTTAAACTCATGCCTACTGCTTCAGTGACTCCATCCAGCCACCTTCTTCTCTGCCTTCCCCTTCTTCTTTTGCCCTCAATCTTTCCCAGCATGAGGCTCTTCTCCAGTGAGTCCTTCCTTCTCATTAGGTGGCCAAAGTACTTGAGTTTCATCTCCAGGATCTGGGCTTCTAAGGAGCATTTTAGAAGAAGTCTTCTATACATTTGGGAATGTAATAAAGTTGATTGAAGAGATAATCTGAAGAAGGTCATAGGGGTCCATCCCTAATCTTGGAGGTGGATATGTGAAGTGTTTCAAGAGGTTGTGATACAAGCCCTGCTCACTGATACCTGTGTTATAAGGCTGCACACAAGAAGTGCAGCTTCTATCCTCACAATGCACATTGTTGGACTCGTGCCCCACCTGACCTATGCTCTGAAATGGGCTCTCTTACCTGGGTATCGCCATGTATGTCTGTGATCAATAGCAGTAGACTTATATATACCGCTTCATAGGGCTTTCAGCCCTCTCTAATCACCATACAGAATCATCTGCCTTTCCACAAACATTGGTGAGATGATACATTGGTTAGTTTTTACTGTACAGCAATGCTTTTCAATCATGGCAACTTTAAGACAGATGGATTTCACCTCTCAGCTGACTGTGGATTCATGGAATTACATTACTGTGCACTTTTGTATGCTCTTGTGTAAACCACAAAGCTATAGGCCACATCCATTGAAAAAGTATATCTGTATACATAAAAGGCAAATGCCACTCACTCATCACGAAATCTCCAGAACCGTAAAGTCTACAAACTTGAAGTTTGGCACGTATGTTCTTCTTAGCTTCTAGGTGCTCGCTAAGAAAGCATTTTTCAAAATGATCACCAGATCATCAGTATTTCTTATACAGTATTTAATACACTCTGATGCTAAGGAGTTCTACTCGCCCTCCCCACCTAAAAAGAACTCTGTTCCAAATTCCAGTTTCCTCATATTAACACACTCCAATGCTAAGGAGTTAGACATTCTACTCCCTGTTCCCACCTGAAAAGACCTCTGTTCCCACTGCCAGTTGCCTCACATTCCGTTACCTCAGTTCAAACGGGCAGATGTTCCACTCTTTCACTCAGGAGCAGTCTGGGGCTCCTTTTAGTACTAAACGGCGGTACCTCACCAAAATGTCTATGCCTTCCACCTATGGAACTGCAGGAGGCGGGAGCGATATTCCCTTATGTGTTTCAATCACCGACCATCACTGAGCCAAAGGATTGAACTGGAGTGAACCGTGTTTTTCCTGCATTGCCCAATCACATAAGTTAGTCGCGAAGCACGGGTCTTGTCTATTTTCCTTATGCCATCAGAGCTGAGATACAGATATTCCATGATGCCATACCATACTACATACGTTTTTCCATGACTTTTCCACACACACACACAGACACACACACACACACATAGACACACACTATATATGAGAACATGACATCATGTAACAGAATCTCTGAAGGTTGAATTGTATACCAGTGAAATCAAATCAAACAATAAAAATGCATACAGTGGTACCTCGGTATTCTACGTTAATTGGTTCCAGGAGGCACGACAAACAAACTGTTCCCATAAGGAATAATGTAGTGAGTCACAAGGCTGCTGATACGGACAAATTCTAGTTTGTGAACTGAGCACCAAACAAATGATGAGTACAAATTTTCATGTTAAAATGCATTGAGTACAAATTCGATGAGCTTCAGAGTGGTTGAGAACCAAGGTACCACTGTATCTGTATCTCTCTGCTCTGACACTTTAAGGTAATGCTTCCCAACCACGTCAATTTCCAGATGTATGGACTTCAAATCCCAAAATTCTGCTTAATGACCATGCTGGCTGTGGAATTCCGGAAGTTGAAATCCACACGCAGGAAAATTGCCACCGCTGGAAATCACTGGCCTAAGAAAAGGCAGATTACATGTTCCCCTCGGATAACTTCTGTGTCTATTCCTTCCTGCAACCAGGGAGCAGAAGGATAACTCCTAAGGCTAATGTACCATATTTTGGGGGGTATAAGACATACCAAGGTTTTGAAGAGGCAAATTTTAAAAGAAGTTTTTGCACTCTGCAGACCTCCCAAAAATGACCCTTTTTTGCAAAAACGAGCCCAATTTTTTTAAAAAAGGGGGGGGCATGAATAGCCTTTAGGAGTGCTCCTATGGGATGGGGGTGGGATAAATTGAGCAAAAAATGGCCCGTTTTTCGCTCATTTCTGCCCTCCTCAGCATCCAGGAGCACTCTGCAAGATTCCTAAAGGCTATGCATGGCCATTTTGGTGCAGAGGGCGGGGTTTCGGGAGGCAAAAAATGCTGTATTCAGTGTATAAGACGCACCCATATTTTCAGCCTCTTTTTTGAGGTAAAAAGGTGCATCTTATACTCTGAAAAATACAGTACTTTATGAAATCATCTAAAGTGCAAAAGTCTATGAAATCAGTTCCTACTAGAGGATTTGAATCAGAAGTGGAATTTAGCTGGTTCTCTCTGGTTCGGGTGAACTGGTAATGGCAGCTGTGGGATGCTCCGCCCACTGGCCCAGACATAATGCGTGAGCACTGAGCATGCACAGACGATGCTCCGCATGTGCAGACATGGTGTGTGTGTTCACATTTGCGAACTGGTAAGTGAATCCCACTGCTGGTTTGAATCCCACAGTTTGACACTCCTAACCACCCACAACTGATGAATCCCATTTGTAGAGATCATGTGACCAATGTAACTGAAAACAACCTCTAAAATTGAATTGGAAACAGACAAAACCAGGAGTAGGTGGTCTCCTGCGTGATTTCTCTTGCAGAGCTTATAAGACACACACCTGATGACATTACCTAGTTGGATAACACAATGTCTGCAAGAGAACAACCAAGCTCAGCCAGCCTGATCTGGAATCAGGTTCAGTTCAGTTCAGCTCTTCCCCACTTATGACTGTGCCTAGCCGTGATTTTTTTTTACTACACATCATTATATAATATAATAGTCACTGCTCACATTTGCCTTTCATCTCCTCTATCATCTCCCTTTTGTTCTGCAAAAGGGAGAACACTATAATGTTAAATGCTAAATAAATAATTGCAGCAATCAGGAGAGCAAGCAAGTAGCATCTTTATGATCTCCCCTATCACTGTTCAATGTGCAGTAACAAAACACATGTCGCTAGTAAACAGCTTATGCTTCTAGACTTGCGATGCCACTGTTAATTCAGATCAGCTTTGTGCAAAACTCTGCAGCTCAGTTTCGAAATGCTAATATTACACCCATCTCTCTCTCTGTCCCTGTCTCTCTTTCTCTCTGTCTCCCTCCCTCTTTCTCTCCCTCTCTCCAACTCCCTCCCTCCCTCTTTCTCTCTCCCCATCTCTCTCTCCCCATCTCTCTCTCTCATCCTCTTTATCTCTCCCTCTTTCTCCCTCTCTCTCACCCTTTCTCTCTCTCCCTCTTTCTCTCCTCTTTCTCCCTCCCTCCCTCCGTCTCTCTATCTGCATAAGTATGGGTTATGAGTCACTTGTTTCAGCGACCAATTTAGTCACTCAATAAATGGATGTAAGTAGAGGACTACTGCACATTTTACTGTGCTTTTCCTCTACAGGAAGAAGACTGGGCTGAAGAGAGAATAATCAGCCCCAAATCGCTCGGTATTAAATATCTGACCTAAATCTCCCTACTCTTAACACCTGAATCATCCCAGTGATTCTCAAAACTCTTTAGTCTGCAATGAATCACCTACAACCCGCTTGAGTTTTTCCAATTACCTCTAGCCGAAGTACAGAAGCCCATGGAGACCAACAAAAGGCCTTAATAAGCTACAGCAGATCACAAGAGATGGAGGTGTATAAATGGTCCCTTTAGCAGCTGAAGGTGTCCTGGTTATAAAAATATAGTCCTCTATTTGAAATCCAGGTCTGGTATAAAAATAAAGATTGTTTTTGTTTCAAAGGGAGAGAACCAGAATCTTGATTTCTCTTAGCTGTCGATATCTAAGGCGCTAGTGGAACAGTCCTTCAAAACTGACCTAGTCAACTTTCTCATTGTAGTAAGACAATGCCTTCTTAAATGATATTATTTTGGCTTTGTCCATCTCAGAAATTCCATCTCACAAAGGACGTTCAAACTTGAGGCTGAATGTAAGAGTTTTATTTGGTGCTAGGCTTTACTGTAATATCTGAGACCGAATATGGACAGATTTTCTGCCTAGAACTGGAGAAAGGGGGGGGGGGGGGCGGTTGGGATGAAAAAAAAAAGCCCCCTCCCCAGCAGGAAGACTGACAAATCACGATGCCTGATCATATTCAAGTGGCACCTGCAGGTCAAAGCCATCTTTAAATTATCATACAATAGCTTTTCATAATGTCTACAGTCCATACAATTTTTATGAGTTCATTTGCTGGCTATAAAATATGCATAAGGAGCCATTGCTCTCATTGGGATTAATGTGCTGCATTGCTTGAGAGAAAACTCCTGTGTTTTGGAAAAGATTGGCTGTGCATACAAAGGAGTCCGGGATCGAGAAAGGAAGGCGAGAAATAATAAACAAGATTCTGCAGCTGTCAGCAAGGTTTAGCCCAAGAATTCAGCTGCAGCTTGGAGGGTAGGATATACAGAATATGGTCGTTTGCCGAAGAGACAGAAATTGGCAGAAAAACACAGTGCCACAGCGCAGGTTGGACAGGTTAAATATTACCTCTTGCCCCAAATTTGCCACCAGAATGAAAGACTTTGGTGCTTCCTTAATTAGGCTTCTGTTTACAGTTCGATTGTTTGTCTAGTGTTATAATTGTTATTAATCTCAGTTTATCTGGGTGTTGATTGCTGGTGAGAAAGTGTTTTAGTCTTTTCATTTGCCTTTTTAACTTTTTCATACGTCTATATGCCAGTGGGTTGGGCAGTGTTAAGCTTTGTACTTTAGTGGCCATAGTCCAGATATCGGATTTCTTGCAAGTCAAACCCCCAATGCAAAAATATAAAATGGTTATTCTTCCAAGCAGAGTTTTAAAAAAATATTTCACGGCTACAAACGACGTGGTGGCTCAGTGGATAAGATGCTGAGCTTGTCGATCAGAAAGGTCGGCAGTTCGGCGGTTCGAATCCCTAGGGCCGCATAACGCAGTGAGCTCCCGTTACTTGTCCCAGCTTCTGCCAACCTAGCAGTTCGAAAGCAAGTAAAAAATGCAAGTAGATAAATAGGGACCACCTTTGGTAGGAAGGTAACAATATTCCGTGCGCCTTTGGCATTTAGTCATGCGGGCCACATGACCACAGAGACGTCTTCGGGAAGCACTGGCTCTTCGGCTTTGAAATGGATATGAGCACTGCCCTCTAGAGTCAGGAACAACTAGCACATATCTGCAAGGAGAACCTTTACCTTTTCAGACAAATTTAGCACTCAAGATAGTGAAGGTATCTCACAAGAAAAATATATTTCACAAGTGAAGTCTGCTGTCTTCATTCCGTTTCTCTCACACATGATTGTGTTGCCTCTTGGTCCTCCGGAATTTACGTCCTTCCTCCAGCAAATCCACTCCTTATTACAAGCCATCAAATCTACTCTGTTCTCTGCTGGCCAGGAGCTGACCAGCTTTTGAACACAGTGGAAATTGCCATTTTATGACCCCTTTGCAGGGAGGCTCTGCCTGGAGCAAACTTGTGGTGATCCTTGCCTTCTCCTTGATTGGGAGTTGAGTCTGAAGGAGCTTCCCTCTTGACTGCAGCCATCATATGCATGAGAACACAGCTGTCTTCAGTCCTTCACCAGTCCCCCAGTAGTCCCCCCTTGCCCTGCATTTTCAGCCTGGGCTGTTCTGTTGTCTGCTGTTCCGGGACTTTCATAATTATCCTGCTGTTGCTCCTAACATGACCCATTAAGACATGAACTTTCACTGCCCTGTATTTTTCACTGTTTCTGAAAGCTCATTGCCCCATTCAAACCTTAGGGCTCCCAGGAGGGCACCCATTCTATTTTTGCCCAGACTGAGTGAAGCACAATCTCTTCCTTTGCTCTCTCTACTCACCCATAGCAAATATTCCTGTTCCTTCCCTCCACCCCACTATTTCAGTCGCAACATATACTGAATATTTAAAACTGCAATGCAATGTAGTACTAAATCTACAGTGTATGCTACTGCATTTCACCCCTACGGAACTGGGCCACCTGTTCTTGCTTGCTAAGAATTTTCTATGGCCCTCTTATGGAATGGAGATGAAAGGCCAAGGTGCTCTCCTTTAGTTGGATTACGGTAGCATCAGAGCCAGAATTTATTTATTTACGCTCCGCCTTTATTATTTGTGCAAATAACTCAAGGCAGTGAACATAGCTAATACGTCTTCCTTCTCTTATTTTCTCCACCACACCAGCCCTGTGAGGGGAGTTGGGCTGAGAGAGGAGGACTGAGCTGGCTTTCATGGTTTAAGATGGGGTGAGAACTTGCTATCTCCAGGTGATTGCCCCAGTCACCCAGCCAGCTTTCATGCCTAAGGCAGGACTAGAATTCACAGTTTCCTGATGATTACCCAAAGTCATCCAGCTGGCTTGTATGCCTAAGGCAGGACTAGAATTCACTGTCTCCTGGTTTCTCTAGCCTGATGCCTCCAGACCAAACTGGCTATTGGATGGTACAATAAGGGAACAACATCCAACTAATACTGGATGGACTAAAAGTATGAGTATCATTGTCAATAGTCCATTGGATTCCATTGCCTTCATAGGCATTTAACTGTGGCTGGAATATATAGTATATAAGGAGGTGTTTAAAGTTTTTATTAGATGGATGAGATGGGTTTCATTGAAGTGAGCCTTAATTCTTATTCAGAATAACAGACTTAGAAGGACCTTGGAGATATTCTAATCCAACCCCTGCTCAGGCAGGAAATCTTATACTATTACAAATGGTTATCCAATCTCTTCTTTAAAACTTCCAATGTTGGAGCATTCAACAACTTCCGGAAGCAAATTGTTCCATTGGTTAATTATTCTCACTGTCTGGAAATTTCTCCTTAGTTCTAGGTTGGCTCTCTCTTTGATAATCTTCCACCCATTGTGTCTTGTCTTGTCTTCTGGTACTCTAGAAAATCAGTTGACCCCCTTTTCCTTATGGTGGGCTCTCAAATATTGGAACACTGCTATCATGTCACTCCTAATCCTTCTTTTCACTATAGACATGCCCAATTCCTGCAACCATTCTTCATATGTTTTAGCCTGCAGGCCCCTAATCATCTTTGTTGCTCTTCACTGCACTCATTCCAGAATCTCAACATCTATTTTATAATGTGGTGGCCAAAACTGGATGCAGTCTTCCAGGTGTGGTCTTACTAAGTCTTTATAAAGTGGTACTAATACTTGATGTGATCTTGATTCTATCCCTTTATTAATACAACCTAGGATAGCATTGGCTATTTTGACTGCCACTGCACACTGCTGGCTGTTATTTAAGTGATTGTCCACTGTGACTCCAAAATTTCTCTCGCAGTTACTACTATTGAGCCAGGTTTCACCTAATCTGTACTTTTTCTTGCCTAAGTGTAAAACCTTACTTTTCTCTATATTGGATTTCATATTGTTAGATAGGGCCCAGTGTTTAAGTCTGCTAAGATCATTCTGGATCTTGGACCTACTGGGATATTGGGTATTCCTGCCAGTTTGGTGTCCTCTGCAAATGTGATGTGTTCCCTTTCTATTCCTTCATCTAAATTGTTAATGGGGATACTAAAGAGTACTGGGCTTAACACAGAAACTTGGGGCACCACTCTGCTTACTTCCCTCCATGTAGGTATAGTTCCATCAGGACTACACGTTGAGTGTGGTTTGTCACTCAACTTCTATGACTACTATTATGTCCCTGTCCCAGCAGCCATAAATCTGAGCCAAAACAACTAGACAAGCCTATCAAGTATCCAAATGATACAACCAGAACCCCAAAATGGGTATGGAAGTGAAGAAATAATAGAGTTAGAAAACCTAAGGATGGAGATAGCTGATTATATACCAGAGCTGCATCTTATATTCTCATCCTTAGTTTAAGGCAGCACCACACAAACCTCATCCGTGGATCATCCGGTGGCGTCATCTCTAAAACATGAGGAGGCCCATTCAACACAACTGCATGTAAGGAAATGCTTGGATTTTCTGTCCCGACCTAGAAGGCAAAAAGAGAACCACTGGGTGATTTTTATGTGTTGAGAGTGGGAATAGTTCCATAAGTCCTATTTTCCATCCCAAACCCATTGATCCTCTCTCTGGTCATCTTGAAGCCTCTGGCCACAGCCTAGCTGAAAAAGTGACCTAAGCGCAGTCCTCATTTAGCAACGACCTCATTTAATAACTCTTTGACGTTGTGAGGGTGATGATAAATGACCTTCGTGACCAATTCTTGCATTTATGACCTATGCAAGTCTGTATGCAAAGGAAAGCTGAAGTAAGACTATGAGCACAGTTGCGCTTAGCAACCGCTTTCCTTCATGACCCAACTGTGGTCGCTAAACGAGCACCACTAATATTATAGTTTGTGATTCTATAAATAGGACCCTGAAGACTATACTTAAAAGATCCATTCAGAAATAATCTTGCTTTTGTAACTGCATTCGGTTAACTTTGAATTGTATCTCCCAGTAAAAGTAACCAAATCTTGAATGTCAGATGAATACAGGGGTGGGCTGCTACATATTCACCTGGGTTCGGGAGAATCCATAGCTACCGTGTTTCCCCGAAAATACGACATGTCCTCATAATATAGCCATGCCACATTTTTCTGGTGGGCAAAAATATAAGCCCACTCCCACATATAAGTCCCCTAGACAACCCCCCACCTCTGGCCAGCAGAGTGCCGCTCACCAACCTAGCAGTATCCCGATGGTGCCAAGCCGTGGGAACCTGGGGGGAAGCAAAGGTGATCGCGTTGCTTGGTGCCTTCGGGATACCGCTAGGTTGGTGAGCAGTGCTGTGCCCAGCTGAAGAGGGGAGTTGCCGGGCGGTTGCTCTCTTGCAAGCGGGCTCCCAAAGAGCCAGGCACAGCCTCATGGGTGAATGGCTGTGTTGCACTGTCGCCGCCACCCCAGCCTGGCTTTTTCCGCGGCTTCCAACCCAAGTCTTTCAGCAGCAGCCGCTCTGGGCGCACGCTCTATGGCTGTACGCTCTACAGGCAGCTGGCCCACAACCATAGAGCATGCGTCCAGAGCGGCCACTGCCAAAATGGCGCTGTGCCTGGCTGCAAAGGGGGTTTGCCGGGTGGCTGCTCGTGAGCATGGTCGCTTCATGGCTGTTGTGTTGCACCGCTGCGACAGCGCAACACAGCCATTCGCCCATGAGGCTGTGCCTGGCTCTTTGGGAGCCTGTGCGCAAGAGAGCAGCCGCCCAACAACCCCCAAAAATAAACCCTCCCCCCATAATAAAGCCCAAGCCATATTTTGTAGGTAAAAAGAAAATAAGGCCCTGTCGTATTTTCGGGGAAACACGGTAAAGTTATGACCAGTTCGGAGAACCTCCAAATCCCACCCACGGCTGGTCCCTCCCACCCCACTCTGCCCTTCCCAGGAATCTCCACGCGGCCTGTTTTGGATGTGAGGTAAGTGCAGGGCCCATGCAGAGTCTTGGGGAGGGGGGAAAACGGGCCTCCCGGAAGTTCCAGATGGCCGGAAACGGGCCCATTTCGGGCCTTTGGAAAGCCTCCAGAGCCTGTAGGAGGCAGTTTTTGCCCTTCTGGAGGCTCAAGGAAAGCCTCTGGGGCCTGGGGAAGGTGAAAACAGCCCTCCCGCCATAGTGCAAGAGGCTGACTAGACCACACCGACCATGGCCACGCCCACCCAGCAATCGGGCAGAGAACCCATTGCTGAAATTTTTGAAGCCCACCCCTGGATGAATAGTAAAATCTATCCTACCTTTGGGTAGTGATAAGTTTCCGCTTTCGGGTAAAGGCTTCCGGTGAATGTGGGTATCTCCATTAATGGGACCCGGGAGTCATTGATAGTTGCATAGGCTAATCTTGTGCCATCAGGAGACCACCAGTGAGCAATCTGGCTTTTCAGGATCTCTTCTAGAGATACGAGAGAGTTGAAAAAAAAATACTGTGATATCAAAACTGTTAGTTAACAAGGAAATGTAAGGATAGATTGAAGGAAAAATTCTACTCTGTGGGCAGGATATTATCCTGTCTAAGTAATGAGCAAAAGAATCTGTTTTATTGATTCTCATGAATGGCTTCCAACCTTTGATGAATTTCCTTTGAGGTTGTGTAACATAATATCTCATCAAGAGGAGAAAGAAACAGTTGTACAGCTAATGAGCTCAATGATTCATATATTTTGCTCAAGTTTGGAAGAGCTTACCTTTCAGCATTAAATTGGGGGAGAATTCCACTTACTACCAAATAGTTAATTGCAGTGTTCTGAAGGTGTTAGGACCTATCTTTTGCTCTGGGCACAATATACAATCGTAAAAAATACAATCCAACACTTTAATCGCTCAGCATGATTAACTGCAAAATTTCTCATAGCTTTCTATAAAACCTAGCTGCTTTTAGATGTTAACCTTTGGCTGAACTCTGAGTGAATTATGGGGACGTATGCAGTGGTGGGATTCAAATAATTTAACAACCGGTTCTCTGCCCTAATGATTTCTTCCAACAACCAGTTCATCGAACTGCTCAGAAAGTTAACAACCGGTTCTGCTTAAGTGGTGCGAACTGGCTGAATCCCATTGGATGTATGGAATTCTCCTAAGATCTGGACTCCATTTGAGTAACCATCATCTCAGGGACCATGCTCCAAAAACTAATGGATGGGGCAAATTAAAATTAAATTTGCTTTGCTTTCATTTATATTTGATTAAAATAAAATGTAAATGGTATGAATATTCTCCGTCCAAACAGGATATACTTTTCTCCTTTTAATCTGTTAAAAGTAGCAAATTTTGGTAGCAATATTTGCAGAATTTTGTGACTGGGACATAAACCTGGGCTTAGGCTATGCCTTTCTGACGTTTAATTACTGCATTTTTAAAAATAAGCTGCCTTAAAGTTCTTGGTTATGCAGACATATGGGGCTAAGAAAACTTGGATGAGTTTCAGGTATGTATGTAATGCATATACGTATGTATGAATGTATGTATGTATGTATTTGTGGTAGCCACTGTTTGGATTTATATTTCTTTTCTAATGATGCTACTAATCTGCTAAGACAGACTGATTGTTTAAATTAGAGAATGCACTGCAATCACTAAAACCTAGTATTCAAAGAGATATTTACATATGTAAAGAATATGAGCTGAGAATATCTGGCAAAAATATGTCATGCGAGCTGGATACCGGTGCTTCGCTACAAAACCATCGATTGGGCCAGCTTGCAGGCCGGATGAGTCACGTGCTGGTCTCGCCCATATAAGTCAACTGGCAGTTGGAACAGTGTTCCTTTCAGGTGGGGAGGGGGAGTAGAACGTCTAACTCTTTAGCATCAACCCGTGTTAATGTCATACTGTGTAAGAAATACTGATGATCTGATAGTCATTTTGAAAAATCCTTTCTAAGCGAGCACCTAGATGTCCCACATTTCAAGTTTGTAGGCTTTACGGTTCTGGAGATTTCATGATGCAGTGTGAGTGGTTTTCACTTTTATATATATAGATTTAACTATTTGAGAAGCTTCTGTTCATGAGTTGGTGAATTACTGGCCTACTTTGTAGAGCTTTTTGTAACTATTACAAACAATATTAGATGATTGGCATGGCATGGAAGCTGTGCCTGTCATCCAAGAAGATGATCCAGCTGGGATCTCCCTCTACATTTTATCATCACAATACTAAATCTCTGGAAGAGGGTTGACGTCGCAAAGACACGATGTGCGATCTTGGTGTTCTGAGATCACAGTCCTGTTGTTGGACCTAAACCATCCTGCAGAGACGGTGATTGAGAAGGGAACCTCCTGCTGATCTCAGGGACATCACAAAGTCCCTGAAAGATCCAGGAATAGCCAGTGACAGAAACACAGCTAATGAAGCTGCTGAAGTCGGGACAGCTCCGGAACGGGAAGAAAGCAGAAAGAGAAAGTGCGTCGAATTGGTGAGGAAATTTTATTATTAGAGGAAGAGACTACCCAAGAAAAAAAATTAAGTTAAGATTGAAGACAAAAGACTGTAGGCGGCGAGATTGATCTGCATTGAACTTAGTGTGTTATCCAATTTGTAATTTTTTCTTTTTTTCACGGAGAGAGTTTTTGCAGGGGCTCCCTATTTTTTAAACTGAATGGATTCATTTTTTCTTCTTCTTTTTTCACTTTTGCTTACACCTATGGATTAAAATTCTCCTTC